CTCCACAACAAGTCTTATATTAAATACAACTGCATGCTCTTCTACTATTTCATCTGAAGGAAACATATCAGGTCAAGAATTGACTTTTTGTTTGTGTTAAAAAAAACATATTCTATGTGCAATTACTACTTTTACAAAGTATGGCTTATTTAACAATATCTCTCTGTTGTGTATATAGAAAGTTATTTCAATGTCAATGTCAGTGTGAATATCATATGCTCTGATGACCCTGAGAACATAATTACAACCTGGGTAAGATACTAAACCAAGAAAACCTCAAATTATCCAAATGTGTTGCATGTCAAACCGGAAAAAAGTATCACATCTCAGCATCAGTATCACATCACCGTTTTTTATCATCACTTTTTTATCATCACTACAGCTTCATGAAACTCTTTCTAGTAAAGGAATAGACGTGTTGCACTTAAAAATCTTGACTTCCTCAACACATGCACGAAAACGAAGGTCAGTCAGTCTTGTTGTTTTTGCAGAGAACAGACCAAACCACAAGAAAACACTGTAGAATTTGTTTAACATGCATGTCTGATTTGTGTTTGCAGTGTGGAAACAAAGTCATTTAAACTGGATAGAAAGGTACATGCTTCCAGATATTAACAGCAATTTTAATTTTTTCTACTAAAATGAACATTAAAATAAAAAAAAGTGTATATACGTTATATATATATATATGTGTGTGTTATCTTGTATAATATATATCCTGTTATCTTGCTCATTTGTCTGGCAGCAATCCCTGCTTTTGGTAACAAGGTAAGAGGTTCATTACAAGACAGCAGTTGAAGAAAAGTGAACAATAATTGTCGTGAACATACAATGTGTTTTAATGGGGTTATCTGATATGGCTTGTTCCCAGCCATAGCTGTGTCTTTCATGCCCAGGTAAAAACTTCCTCAAACATCACAGAGACAATAAACCTGATTGACAGACTTCTGGAGAAACCATACACCAGTGGAGCAGTATTCTTATATGCCCAACCCGAGGACATTTTCATTTCTTATATTGGTATGTGCTGCATCTGACCAGACGATGGGAGGATCAGATCATGATTCATTCTCAGTACTTCATACCTCTCTTTCATTGTAATATGGACTGAGGAATTTAATTACATTATTAAATAAATTGAATTCTGTAACCACACACAGAGTTGTCTGAATGTATCTTTCTTCTTCTCTGAAAACAGAGCCATGCCCTGAGCACAACCATCACACCAGGCATGGGCTTTTCAAATGGCCCCAGTTTGGGGTTCAGCTCATCGTTTCACTTTCCTGTGTGGGAAACCCTGAAAAGACAGCATATAGGCAATGGTAAGAGCCTCTTGAAAATGTTCACTTTTACCTAAATAGAATTGATGTTCGAAATTCCTTCATACTTTTTAAAAATAAATATACTTTGAAAATATTTTTAAATATACTGCGTGATACAAACCAAACCAAAATATGACGCTTAACGATAAAGAATGTAATTTCTGTACTACTAGCAGCACCAGACATAAATGCAAAAATAATTCCCAGCATTCCCATCTAACTAATTAATATTCTAAGAACGTTCTCCTATGCTACTATTAAGTCATGAAACATTATTTTCAAAAGTTTTAAGAATTCTTTCCCTTACTTACACAAACATTGATTATGGAAAACTTTAAAGGGAACATTCAATTTTCTCAATTTGCAAAAATTCTGGAAAGCGTTCTTCCCGGAACAGTTCAGCCAATGTCTCAAACAGCCAATTACAAGTACATTTGGTGTGGCACGGAAATTACACACTTCATCTTTAATCAAATGATAATAATTGCATTAAATCATTTAACAATTCCAGTTCATAGTTGCCTGTCTGTTCTACTTAATGAGACATTGATGGACAGCCTGTACATTTTTTGACACTCCACTAGGTTATTGTTCCTAATCACTAACTCTAAAAAGAGGAAGCGTCAGGTTTAATATTTGAAGGGGCTGCTGTAAACCAATTAATCACATGTATGTTCCATATAGTAGTATCATTAATGTCAGAACTGTTTGTATGATCGATTTCATTGCAGAGGGAAAGCAATCTCTTGTGTTTCCATGATGTTTCAGTCGTTCAAGGTTTATTTACAGCCATAAAATGGATGAGCAGGTTTTAAACCCGAACCTGAACAGCATTATATAATGTTGTGTATCTTGGAGTCAAGCAGCTCTGAACAATTTGCAATAGTATAGTAATAATAATTCATGGTTTGATAGGTTTATTGACTGTGACAGTCTCACCCTTCTCTCCCAACAGTTTTCTAGGTGCAAATTCTAACAATGCTCTTTGGAAATCTCCAGACCTGGGGCAATGCCAGGTTGTGGTCAACAGTGTGTCAGACCTGGAGGACATTACAGTCACTAATGGTAATCCCTTCACATAATTTAAATTAGATACACAAGCTTTCTGTTAAAGGAATTGTTTAGTCAAAAATGAACATTTGCTAAAAAAAATTCTCAACCTCAGGTCATCCAAGATGTAGATGAGTGTGTTTCTTCATCAGAACAGATTTGGAGAAATTTAGCATTACATCACTTGCTCACCAATGGATCCTCTGCAGTTAATGGGTGCCGTCAGAGTGAGAGTCCAAACAGCTGATAAAAACATCACAATTCTCATTCTGACAGCACCCATTCACCGGTGAACAAGTGATGTAATGCTACATTTCTGCAAATCTCAGCTACATCTGGGATGTCCTGAGGGTGAGAAAATTCAGCAAATTTTAATTTTGGGTGAACTATTCTTTTAAAATAAACAGAAGTGAACTGAATTAAACATAAAAGCATAATTTCATTCACAGCAAAGACAAAAGTATGTTAGTAATCTGTTTTAACACATTAGCATCTATATGATCCAAACGTATGATAATATATGGGCACATCTTAAAAACACTCTCTGTGCATTTCCCTATTAGACAATGCAGAAGATATTCTGATCATGATTGAGGATTTAATACATGAGAACAAAGATCTGGATGAGTACGAGCTCTCAATGGTACTGGATAAACTGGCCGATGTGATTAACGTTAGCGTGGTCACACCTCCGCTGGGAGAGGTCATTATCAACATCACCTCTGACATCTTGGAGTCTGACAGCAACCTGCTGCCTTTCACCAACAGGTGTGTGTATGTAAGACTCTGAGTGTTCATTTAATATAGTTGCTTGATTTTTATTAAACAATAGTAATAAAAATCAAACAAATATGGAAAATGATTTAGTTTGTGGTTAACAATGAAATATATTGTGCGTAAATATACATTAAATTATGTCTGGTGTTGGGTGAGAGGGTTTTACAGGTGGATTTTTATACCTTCCGTGTAAACAAAAAACCCTTCACTGTATTTGTGTAGTATTCTGAACATCACAGAGTCTGTTGGAGACCAGATGTTATGGTTCACTGGAGAGTCGGTCAGTTTAACAGCTTCTGCCTTAGCAATATCAGTGGTCAATATTGACCAAGGAAATTTTCACAACCTCACCTTTGGAGTCTCATCCACTAACAAAGGTTTAAACCCTGAGGTGAGCACACATGCACAGCACCTTCATGAAACTTGTGGAACTTAATTTTTATATAAGGTTTGGGGATAGTACAATTTTTTTTTTTTAAATTTAAATAAATGATACTTATTAGGCAAGGATGTATTCAATTGAATCGAAAAGTGAAGACCTTTAAATTGTTACAAAAAATTATATTCCAAAAAAATGCTGTTCTTTTGAACTTTCTATTCAAAGAATCCTGAAAAAATGTATCACGGTTTCCAAAGAAAATATTGAGCAGCACAGCTGTTTTCAGCATTTATAATGGTTAGAATTGTGTCTTGAGCAGCAAATCAGTGAATTAAAATGATTTCTGAAGGATCATGTGACACTGAAGACTGGAGTAACGATGCTGAAAATTCATTTAAATATAAATTACATTCAAATATGAATTAAAATATTTATAATATAAAATCATTTTTATAGTATTTTACTGTATTTTTGATCCAATAAATGCAGCCTCGGTGACAACCCCGAACTTTTTAAACATTCTGCATGTGTTATAATAATATTATGTAATGTAATATAATATACAATTTATTATTTATGTAATAATTATAAATTAAGCATAATCAAGAATTGACCATTGAATGTTTCAGAGAAACTGAGCTTATTTGGCCAATAAGTTTGAATTTCTGTTTTACATTGTAATATAATGTAATGAAGCATATAAATCATCACACAATGATCAAACGTTATGCTTTTCTTCTATAGATTTATATCAACCGAGAGCCTTTTGATGGTACAGTGGCCTTCATTTCTCTGCCCTCTGAAATACAAGAGAGATTCCCCATCATAAACAACACCAGCCCCCGTGTTCAGTTTCAGTTTTACGGAGTTCCGACTCTCTTTCAAACAAAGGTGACTTCATCTTACTTCGTCAGTGGCAGATGTTCATTTTAACAGGGTCTCACTGTTAGATTATTTTGACAAACTACATTTGTGAATTTGTCTCAGAATGACCCAGATGGGAAAAGACTGAACACTTACGTGGTGTCTGCAAGTGTGACCAATGCCACAGGACGCATTGAAAACCTAAAAGAATACGTTGCAGTCACTCTGCACCATCTAACAACTAAGAAAGTAAGTAAGTAGTACTTAGGAATGTCCAGGAATAAAAAAAAAACACTGGCAGAAATTATTTCTAAATTTGTCTTTACCTTTGACAGAAAGACCAGAATGTCCAGTGTGTCTACTGGGATTTCAATAAGAATGGCAAGTTATTATTCTAATATTATTATTATCTAATATTATAATATTATTCATTATTATTATTATTATTCTCACATTAGGTGCTATATTTCATGAGTGGGTGGGTTTGTGCATGTTCTATTTTAGATGGATATGGCGGATGGAATCAAAAGGGGTGCTGGACATATAATAGCAGCAATGATTACACAACCTGTCTGTGTGACCACATGACCCACTTTGGAGTGCTGCTGGTACAACATGATTCTGTGTTTGATACTCAGTTACAATTACTTATATGTGCATTGAATATTTTAGTCTCAATAATGTCTATTAAGCCAAGTTGTTGTTTTTTTTGTTTTTTTAAGGATGTGTCCAGAACACCCATTGATGAGAAGAATGAGCGAATCCTCACTCTTATTACATACATGGGTTGTGGTGTGTCTTCATGCTTTCTTGGGATCACAGTGCTAACATACACCCTTTTAGAGTAAGATGTAATTTATAATTTGTTTATATATGGCAATGCAGCATTCTCGCATTACCCCCATATAGGGTAGAACGGGGTGAGTTGAGCCAGTTTTTACTTATGGTGTGTTTAAAGTGAGCACACGACAGTAATGCGTCCAACTTAAATTTGTATTTAAATTTCAGGATGTGGTGCATCCTTGGGAATAATCATTTTAATCTAAATACTTGTTATAAAATATGGCTTTGAAAAAAAAAAAGTGGTCTCTTGGCTCAACTTGCCCCCAGTGCAGTGTAAATTGAGAATAGGCAGAGGGCAAGTTGAGCCACAAAAAGTTAAGCTGTGCCATTGATTATGCTGAAGTAAAACTGAACATTTTCACCTCATGCTATATCAAAGGAAGATAAATTCAATAAAAATGACTTCTTCAAATCTATATGTGAGCCTAGTGGTGGACTGACCATCCATCAAGGGTTTTTCTTTACCTGTGGCTCAAAACGCTGGGTTATGCTCCAGCTCCCCACAACCCTAATAAGGACAAAGAGGTTTGGATAATGGAATTATACTTCTAAAACTTTTATTTAAAGATACAGTTCACAACTCTGAAGGCATTTTTTAAATTATTTAAAAATTTCAGCACAAAATAAAATTCAAAAAATAAAAACTGACTGCAATTGACCTTACAGAACTGGGCTTAATAGAACTTAACATCCCACTTATAGATGTTGCAGGGAAATACAATTCCATAAAAAACTTCAATGGCCAATTTTCATAAACAAGGCCTATTTAACATTTTCAGAACAAAATCAAGTTCATAACAAAAACAAAAATGTTTAAAATTAATGAAGTATAATGTAGAATTACAGTAAAATAATACTTTATAATCATAAGAAGGGGTGAGCCACTGGCTCAACTTACCCCAGGACTTTTGGCTCAAATTACCCCACTACTACCATTTTAACAAACTTGTATCATCCATAGGTTTAGAGCTAACATCATGCTAACAGT